TCTTCCAGGTGCGCATGTCATAAAGAAAGGGGGTCATTAAAACATCTGATTCGGATGGCGCGGCCCACAGTCGAGAAAAATGTATAGGGTCGAGAAAAATTATAGAACACTGACTTTGACACTGTGCCTCCCCCCTCCCACTATCCTCCCACAGCTCACAGCCCAGAAGCAGTGGTCGAGAGTGCCTAAGTACAAGTACATGGAGCGGAGTAAGGCCAGAACTATATTGGGAGCCCAGTGGGAGCAGAGCACCATCCCCCAGCCAGTCACCCCTTTCATGGACTTACTAGTGAGTCCTCACATCACCTGACCATTCACACTAGCGTTACATGGATGGCAGGGAGAAGGCGGGGGTAGAGGCAGAGCGGGAAGGGGGCCAAGTTGCTGCACCATGGGCCTCTGGGTTGTACTTGCCCCTTGGCTAAAAGTTGCCAGTCAGCTCCTGCTGTATTCCGCACGTGCCCAGTCTGCCTTACATTGGATCTGGTATGAAGTCTGCCGTACATTGGATCTGGTCTGAGGTCTGCAGTGTATTGGTTCCGGCCTGAGTTCTGCCATGTATTGGTTCTGGTCTGAAGTGTGCCGTGTATTGGTTCTGGCCTTAGGTCTGCCATGCATTCTACCATTTAGCTCGCTTTCCATATTGCCTATATTGGTCTCCTACCAGTTCCCCGGCAAATCATCTCTTAGTGAATTGGCCCACTATTTGAAAAAGAATGTGGATAAATAATTTCTGTGACCCAAGAATGTCTATGCAGGTGGGGCGTGTGGGAGGGGCTTGTATATGGGCAGAGCACAAGGGGGCCCCATAACCTTGTATTGCCCGGGGTCCCCATGTGTTGTCATTCCGCCCCTGGTATCCATATGCATCAATGAGCATGGGTGCCAATGGTTCGCCAGTTTTCCTTTTTTTTGGACTACTTTCAGTAGTGCCTGACCACTGCAAACTGGGAACATCCCATAAGAGCTGCAGTTCTGAAGTTGCTCTGACCCAGTCGTCTAGCCATCACAATTCTGCCCTTGTCAAAGGAATTGACAAGGAATGCAACAAAAGATGTAAAAAAGCAATCAGGGCAGCAATAGTGGAATACGAGGAGCACATAGCAACAGAAAGCAAAAGTAACCCCAAGAAATTCTTTAAATATATAAATAGCAAGAAGGTAAGGACAGAACATGTATGCCTCATAAAGGATGATGAGAGGAGGTCAGCTACTAGCGACAGGGAGACAGTGAACAAGTTAAATTAATCATTTTCTTCTGTCTTTACAGATGAGACGGGACGTGGGCAGCAGTCAGGGCATCAGCTGCAGAGATAGTATTTCCATTTTTTTCATGTCTCAGTGGCTGTCTGAGAGAAGAGTAATACAGAGGCTGGAAAGATTAAATGTAAACAAATCCCCAGGGCCTGACGGTTTACATCGGAGGGTACTAAAGGAACTTAGCCAGGTCATAGCCCGAAATTATGTACCCTTGTACATAATTTTCATGGATACTCTAACGACAGGTAGGGTACCAGCTGATTGGCGGATAGTGAATGTGGTACCAATATTTGAAAAAGGGATAAGAAGTACACTGGGTAACTTCAGGCCTGTCAGCTTAATGTCAATAGTGTGGAAAATATTCAAAGGCATAAGGGACTACATGCAGGAATTTGCAAATAAAACTGGAATAAGTAGTAACCAACATGAAGGACCGTTCTTGCTAGACCGGTCTATTAACATTTTATGAGGAAGGCAGCATTATTGTAGACGTGGTGTATCTGGACTTTGCTAAAGCATTCAACACAGTACCCCACAAACGTTTGCTTCATAAACTAAGGTCTATCAGTTTGGATGAAATTGTATGTACATGGGTGGAGAATTGGCTGCAAGGACAGATCCAGAGGCTAGTAATAAATGGGTCATTTTCTAATTGGGCAAAAGGTTGTGAGTCGGGTGTCCCAGGGTTCGCTCCTGGGACTGATCCTGTTCATCTTATTCATTAACAACATAGAGATTGGACTAAATAGTTTGAGTTCGCTTTTTGCAGACAATACAAAACTGTGTAGGGCAGTAAATTCTGAACGGGAAATATTCACACTTCAACAGGACCTAAATATAATTGAGGCATGGGCTACAAGATGGCAAATGTGATTTAATGTTGAAAAATGTAAGGTTATTCACATGAGATCAAAGAACATATGTGGAAACTACCACTTGGGGGGTGCTACATTAGGGAAGTCGGACATGGAAAAAAACCTAGGGGTGTTCATAGATCACAGATTTGGCAATAGTAAGCAATGCCAAGCAGCAGCCAGCAAAGCAAGCAAGATACGGGTGTGCATTAAAAGAGGGATTGTAGCAAGGAAAAAAGAGTAATACTTTCACTTTATAAATCACTGGTTCCGCCTCATCTTGAGTATGCGGTACAATTTTGGTCGGCAACTTTCAGGAAAGATGTCCTCGAGCTGGAGAGAGTTCAGCGAAAGGTTACAAAATACATTAAAGGGATAAAAGACCTGAGTTATGAAGACCGCCTCCAGCAATTAAAGGTATTCATCTTAGAAAAGAGGCAATGAAGAGGAGACCTTATTGCAATCTTCAAAATTATCAACGGGACCACAATATTTGGAACAAACTTTAATCCGAAAACTGTATTGAGAACACTGGGACACAACAAGAGGTTAGAAGAAACGGGATTCAACCATAGAAATTGTTTTGCGGTTTTTTACTGTGATAGTAGTGAAATTGTGGTATCCCCTTCCACAGGCAGTGGTACCTGCTGATAGCGTTCATAAATTCAAGAAACGTCTTGATGAGTTTCTGATTTCACTTTATATACAAAAATATGGAAAGTGTTAAAGCCAGATAAATACAGACACACAATCACATACAGGTTGGACTGGATCGACCGTTGTCTTTATTCAACCTTTTTTGCTTGCCTATTTTTTTCTACTTCCAACTCATCAGCTTCAGGTGCAAAATGTTCATTTGCTGCCTAATATATCCCGCCCACTGTAACAACACTGTAACAGTGCCATTGTTACAAGATAATCGATGTTATTCACTTCACTGGTGTATATATTAATGTCCCTCATCACAAATGCAGCTGTGTTAACATTCGAAGCTGGGTACTTTGTAATTTTTTTTCCTAATGGAGACATTATGCGTATAGCTGTCATTTTCATCTGAAATATGTAATTCCTTACACAGATCAATTAGCATTTTTAGACATCTATAATCTCTTCGACCTAAGTCTGTCCAGTCATTCAATAAGCCATCAACAGGGGGAAAATCATTTTCTCGATGTAGATACTGTAATAGAATCTTTCTCACAAATAGATGTACATCTTTAATTGTTTTAAATATATCTATTTGCCCTTGGATGAAAGGACCAAACCTCTTTTTATCACATTTATTTCCTTATTCAAGAAATTTCTTGAAGAAATATTAGTAAAAGAATTGTCATCATTCACAGTTCTTGTCCTAAGAAATTAGCTGATGCCATTAACAGATACTGTTATGCTGTTTCCCCCAAAGATTATGTAAAGGAAGAAGTAGGCAATGAAGCAATAGACATGAGTCTTAATGTGTTCAAATCTGTTAAATGGGTTGTTGTATCTACACATGTTGACAATTGTGAATCCCTCACCTATGTGTTTGTATTGTGCTCGCTTGTGTTGTCCAAATCTTAATGAGTAATTATGCTGTTTTTGTTGTTAGTGGATTTATAATAAGTTTGATAACTGTACTCTGGTGGCAGATATTATTATTAGTTCTAAACCAGTTTGAACTAGTTTTGTCCAAATAAAGGGATTTAACTTTGAAAAGTATTGTATGTTAAAGTGACACTAAACACAGGAGTTAAATGCATTCAAGTACCCAAACAATTAACAAAAATATAGCGTATTTGTGCATCACTAAGCTGTAAACCCTAAATCATCTTTCAATTCATACTGACACTTTCCTTCCTTCTGGAGAGTAGTTACTTTTGTTCCCCATTGTCCTTGTGTGTGTTGTAAAGTAGCCACTGCTCCAGGCTCCCTCCCGTGATGGACTACAATCTCATGTTTAGTTTAAATATTTGTATTGTGATCGTGGTATATACAACACACAGGAGGTACCATGGGGAACAAGCAGCCACCCTACAGAAGGAAGGACAGCGTGAGCACAAATTCAGAGATGAATTGAGGATCGCACAGTGGCGTAGTGGTTAGCACTTCTGCCTTGCAGCACTGGGGGTCCCTGGTCCGAATCCTGGCCAGGTCACTATCTGCAAAGGAGTTTGCATGTTCTGTGCTTGCGTGGGTTTCCTCCGGGTACTCCGGTTTCTTCCCACACTCCAAAGACATGCTGGTAGGTGAATTGGCTCCCATCTAAATTGGCCCTGTATGTATGTGAGATGGGGACCTTAGATTGTGAGCTCCTTGAGGGCAGGGACTGATGTGAATGTGCAACTATGTAAAGCGCTGCGTAAATTGTCAGCACTATATAAATACCTGTAATAAATAAAATAAATAAATCGACAGCCGAGGGATGCACAAATAAGCTAAATTTTTGTTAATAGTGAAGGTACTTGAATGCATTTTTAAGATCTAACTTCTGAGTTTAGTGTCACTTTAATGAAAGGAACTTAGGGTGTTCCTAGGGTTTCTATTGGGTCAGCCAGAGTTTCCCGTCACTTTTTTCTGCAAAAGTGGAAAAGACATAAGAACAGTTCCAACTATTTTAAATGAATGTGGGTTCTGTATAGATAAGGAATACAAACTAATTTTCATTTAAGTGTTTAATGCAGTTATTCCATGAAACAGGATCAAAATGCCTGGTCTGATTTTGTGAAAAAATTTAAATGAAACTCATGCTAGCGGGTTTTCCAGAAATGTTATGAAATTGTATGAAATATTAAAAGTTTAACTCAACCTGGGGAACATGGTTCTGGTGGTGTGATTGAGATATTATAAACATCTTGGTTCAATAAATATGGTTTTAATATAGCTAATATGTGTATAAATTCTGTTACAGTATTGATTGTGCTGGTATTCTAAAGCTGCGAAATTCTGATATTGAACTGCGCAAGGGGGAGACTGACATTGGCAGGAAGAATACTCGTGTGCGTCTGGTCTTTAGAGCACATATACCCCAACCCAATGGAAAAGTTCTGTCCTTACAAACTGCCTCTATACCCATTGAATGTTGTAAGTATTCATACCCTTGATGAACAGTAATTATTTTTTTTTTTTTATTTCCAGTAGTCATGCCTTACCTAGAGACATGGCTTACCCATGTTATGCAAATCAGGCTGAAAAGAAGCAAGTTTAGAAATGCAAACAAAAGGGTCTCCTCGTTTCTCTGTTCAAACATTTGGATCAAATGTCCAAACTAATACAAACGTGTGTCTCATAAAAAACACTCTCCTTTCTACTGAGGGAGACTTGGGTAGTTACTTACCTTATTTCTGTGATTCTTCAATCAAGATTTCCTCTGGCTGTGTTTGGCCATGGCAGCAATTTTGCAGCTTCCAGATGGGTTCCCCATGGCAGTAGCCTTGGGGACTGCACCTGGACTCTGCAGGACTGAAGATGTAGGGCAGACCTGTAATGTAGCTTTGAGCACTGGATACTGCATTAGGTACCAAACTTGTCATGTAGTACAGCGTGTTGGATTAGCTGCCGGGTCCAGAGCAGCGGTGTATGCGTACCACTGTGTGGATACCGCACCCTAGGGGGTATGCTCAGCCAAAGTGAGTGAAGCTGAGAATTGGAATAAACCCCATCGTTTAGAGATTTGATGCAACAGGTGGGTTAGTCTATGTTTCTTAAACCTAGATGTTACCTGGTCCTTTAAGATGTTTGTTGCTTCCCTGACGATGTTTGGGAACATGTACTGTGCACTCCATGTCCCTACTGCTGATCTTATTTTCTATTTCAAAGTTTTTATTAGGTTTTTTCACACACGTAAGTCCGTATATACAACTACGGGACCATGCATTATACATATTACCAAGTATACAGGCAGGTAACATAAGTAACAAACAATCTTATACTCGGTCTTGTAGATCATCATAGGCGATGAGACTATAATGAGCAACCTAACTAAGTCAGGTTGGAGCAGCCTTAATACATTATTACTAACATCTACTTAGTTCAAAAATATAACATTCTATATTGGTATGCATTGAAAAGCATTACAACCCAGAGTCCCAGTAGAGGGATAAAGAACAAAGGAGAAAGAGCGGGGGGGGGATTGGCAAAGATTTAGAGAGGGTACAGGGCGAAAGGAGAGGGGAAAAAGAGAAAAGGAAAAAAAAAAGGAAAAGGAGGGGGGGTTCGGATCTCGCTACTTCGGTTGACACTTCGTGGTGAACATCCTCAGTAGTAAAATAGTTATATTAAGCCCTCTGGAGATCAACCTCCTTACCAGCTCAGGAGGACATCCTCATATGCCACAGAAGCTAGATTCGGTCATGGAAGGGTGTTGGAGGTGTATCCATGGTTCCCATACCCTGAGAAACACGGGCTGTCTATCCACCAATATGCTTGTCAACCGTTCATTCAACATGATATTGTCTATTCTAGATATAAATTCCCTGTACGATATTTGTTGCTTCTTCCAACTACCAGCCAGTGTTAACTTGGCTGCCAAAAGGATGAAGTGGGAAAGTGTCCGCTGATCTTATTTTAATGATTAAATTTGGCTATTTGTTTAGTTTTCCCCACCAGTCCCATACGTGCGAGCACCTAGGGGATTGGCAGTGGTCTTCTGCTGGCACAGGCTCAGTAACCAAGCCAGCAACCATCTTGGTATTCTCGGCCGATTGGGTCTGCATTCAGATCACTGAGGTAGCCATCTTGCTCCTTCCTGTGATTAAGTAAGCATGTGGAGGAGGCGGTGGCCCTGTTAGTTTAGCATTGGTTCGGAGCAGGCTGAAGTATGCAGGACCCAGATCCATTTGCAGCAGGACAGTTATCACTGTTTCCAGGGACAACTGAGACCTGAGGGGGACCCTCATTAGGCCTTTGGGGCCAGCCTAAGCTTTGGGCCCATTCACGATGGTGCACTTTAAATGCAAAGAGACTATTAATAGGTGTGGGGGTTACCTGATGTTTCTCCCAGGAAATCTGCTTCAGATAGTATGTGTGTTAGCCTAGCGTTTAGCTCTCAGTTCTCTTCTAATGTGTCCACCACCCCTTCAGGAGATGCATTCTCCATGCCTTAGCAAGGAATATTTTGCAGCATCAATAACTGACTGTTTTTATGGGACATATATCTGCTGTGATTGATTCATTGGGCTGCAGAGGGCGCAAGTACATCCCCACTTTCAATTTGCTGTCAGACCCAGCCATGGCTACTGCAGTAAAGCAGGATGATGATGAGGAGGAGGGTGTGGAACTAAAACTGTGAGATACCATTTCTGTGCTTGTTGATGAGGTGTGAGAATGTCTAGCTATTGCAGCACCCATACAGGTTTGCCCCAAGGTCACTAGCTTAGGTCCCCTTGGGAATACGAAACCCACTAAGACCTTAACACTTTCTATAGTGAAGGAAGTACTTTATTCAGATTAGTATTACTTGGCAAATGAATATGTCCCTCCAAAATGCTTTGCACACCAGTAGCTCCTTGAAGAAGCTTTTCTTAAGAAATGAGTGTTGCTGGAGGATAGGCGCCTAGAATCCTTGTTCAAGGCAGCGTTCACCTTGGTTGCGCCTACCCTGCAACCTGCAGTTGCTCCAATGGAGTAATGAGAGACCTTTCTGACCTGGACAAAACACACCACTTAGGATCCTAGCATTATCTCTATGGACCCTGATGTCATACGGTGGCTGAAACTTCTGCCGATGGACTTGTGCTATTTTGTGGACAGCTTGGCTGACACCCTTGTGCCGGCTTCCTAGGTAGTGCGTGTTGTCTGTGCATACGTGCAAAAAAAGCAGATTACCAGCACTCAGTAGTAAAGTTGAATACGTCCCTTTTAATTGGACAAAGACGTCACCGTGATCAAAAAAGCCGACGTTTCGGGACCGCGCTGGGTCCCTTCCTCAAGGCAGAAAGACGTGACAATATAGTACCATACATACACCACATATATACCCCATGGAGTTAATCAATAATTCATAGCAACACCCCAGTGATGTCACAACGGCGGCAAAAAACGCCATATTTAAAAATGCAAAACCATTTAAGAACAACACAATCAAACTAACACAAGTAATTAATAGATCATACCCACAACCAGATGATCCAGGTCGATGTTGTGGCTGCAGAGTAGCTGACATAACCACAATACAGGCATAGTACACTCCATAACGTCGGCAAATGAGTGCATAGATCTCCGCCCCTCGTCCCGATGTTCCAGCGCGGACAATAGGTGTCATCGGTCAGTAGGGAGACAGAGAGACACAACTCTCAGCCATCACACGGCGCAGGCGCCGGGGCTATACACCAGAGGTGCTGACTCGGGTGGGGGAAGAACAAGAGAGCGTAATATATCCACCCTGCTGACACAACAATTGATACTCCCAGATCAAGAGGCGCAAATAAGCAAATAAATCATATAATAACAAGTGATAAAACACCAAGGTGCATAAACAAAAATAACATATTTACATGTATAGAACCAAAAAAAGGGGGAACAAGCAAAGGAATAATAACTAATACATACGCATATGAATAATGCACCAGTCAAATCACGGATAACAATACACCCAGGGGACATAAAGTATATCAGCAGATTAGCTAGAAAATTGATATAAATTAGCTATATAAGAATAACCACGCTTTAATGATTTTCAGTTTGAAATTGACACCTTTAAACTTGAACGCTCCATGAAGTTGAAACAGCACTTTTGTCACCAAACCTGCACTAAAGGCATTGATTCGTCTACCATTAAATTCAAGAATAAAAGTTAATTTACACCACCTGGCCAATTTGCTTCCATCGAGACCTTTATCAAGACTGTCAGATATGATACTCGTAACATCACTGACCAGAGAAGGGCACATAATCGTTCATGCTACTCCAATCTGAAAAGGGGGGAACTGACTGCCCTAAAATCATTACAGGAAGATGATTCTATCATCATAAAACCTGCGGATAAAGGGGGTGCCATTATTATTATGGATTATGCCAATTATAGAATGGGTATTTGCTACCTTCTATCCGATGTGTCTACATATCTCTCAATCCCACGTGATCCCTTAACCTCTATCCTTAACAAATTGTCATCCTTGATCGACTTGGCCCTAGACCAGAGATGGATCTCTGAGGGTATTGCGGAGTGGCTCTATAACTTACATGCCCGCACACCAGTAATGTATGGCCTACCGAAGATCCATAAGGAATACGATCCACTTACGTTTAGGCCCATTGTGGCAGGAACTGGTTCAGTACTACAACCGTTAGCTATGCTATTAGACCATTTTTTACAACCTGTGGTGAAAGCCCTCCATTCTTATACACGTGATACCAATGACTTCATTATGACATTGAAATGTATTGATAATTTTTATCCAGGTTGGACTTTATTAACGATGGATGTATCTTCACTGTACACGTGTATCCCTACTGATGGGGGTCTGCAAGCTGTGGAGTATTTCCAATCTCGGAGAGAGTCACCATCCCCGCCAACAGCTTTCATTCTAGAGGGGTTGAGGATTGTACTTGAGAACAATTACTTTCGTTTCGAGAAACATTACTTTCTCCAGACGAAGGGTACTGCTATGGGCAGCTCGGTTGCCCCTTCCTATGCAAATTTGTTCATGGGATATCTGGAGAAGCTTTTTATTTATCCATCTGAACTGTTTGAACACGTGAGATTATGCACCAGATATATAGACGATATCTTTGTGATATGGTCAGGACCAATTGATGATATACAGATCTTTGTAGAATACATTAATACACTTGTAGAAGGCATTGTGTTTAATCCAGAGATATCATATTCCAGGATTCCTTTCTTGGATGTAATGGTAACGACCCATCAGGGACAGATTTCCACATCACTGTACACTAAACCTACTGATCGCAATGCGTTGCTCTCCTACAGCAGTGCACACCCTGATAGACTGAGAGATTCTTTGCCGGTCTCTCAGTTTGTCAGGGTTATGAGCATTTGCTCGGATACTACGGATTGCGAAATACAACTACAAAAGATGTAAAAAAAAGTGTTAAGCGGGACGTGGCTTACGCATGGCCGT